GATTGACCAGCGCTTCCCCGTGTGCACGTGCACGTGCTGTCTTTCAACTGGGCCACGTGGGCAAGGCCATTGGCTGATGGTGGTTGCTCGACCACATAATCTTCAAATTTTAGAATAAGGACAAATAAATGGGTTACAGTTACCATCCTATCATCGTGCCAGGTCATCAATCACGATTTGAGGATGCTAGAATGCCCGAGTTAGCTACTTTCTTGTCTTCTTGTAGGGGGATGTAGGCCGCTAGACTTTTTGCACGAACTCTTTCACCTAGTAGGCAACAAAATGGAAATCTTGTCCTGTGCCTTGTCGGAGCCATAGATAGCAGAGTTTTCAATCACAAGTTTGTTCCGAAAAATTCTTGGTCCCCAGGTCGAATCAGACATCTTCCAGAATCATCAAGAATACATTAGTTGTTTAATCCTAACAAAGTCTTTCTTGATTAGGCCAGCAAACACCGCTTGCAAGTGACCAGCATGCATGTCAAAAATTAGATCAAACATATTAAAATATGCTCTCACTTCTGACCCAACGCCAGGCACTTTGCTAAAACAGTTCGACACACAATACCCCTGACTTCTGGGTCTCCTTCTTCTGTTGGTCTTAATTTTGAAGCATGGTCTTACGTTTTTGTAAGACACGACCTGGCAGCTCCTGCAATTCCCGGTAGATAAATTTTATCCCTCCTTCCTCTTCGCATTCACCGTTACCAGGTCTTCCTCTTCCGTCGAAAATACCCAACATTTGGCAAAAAATGAAACATTTTCCTTTTTTTACGGGCTGTTTTCTTATCGAGTTCTCACCAATGTAGTCAAAGTAAAGTCTTGGCTATAGTTTGAGTGAAAAACTAAGGTAGATATTTTCCACTTTTAATTATAGAACAATAGTGAACACAACACTTCAAGAAATGGAAATTGTTGAGGACATTTGAAGTACTAAGATACGAGTCTATTTTATTCGCAAAAGACAAAAGGTTGCATGATTGCATCAGTAATCCATCATTTCATTCGTTAGTTATATTAATTGCCTCAGAAATGGCTGTCTTTCAGTAACCAGGCTTCGGCGACTAGACACAAGTGCAGTTATGTTCTTGATGGGAGATTAGCTTAAACAGGAGGCGCGTGCCGAAACCAATGTAGATCCTTATTCCGAACTAATCGGAAAGAGCTAATGAGGTCGATTCATCATGTTGGGTTGCCGAATTAGCTTTTAGAGATGTCGTAAGTAACACAAGACGCACTCTCGCGATAATCTGCTTAATTCACCCACGGAACCATGTTACTCTCATCTCTCAAACAAAGATTCCATTTTGACCTCATTGACCTGCCCTCAAACTGAATGGCAGTTTGAGGCGCTTCTGCACTCCTCAACTTCTGCAAGCGAAATGCGTCTTTTGAGTTACCAAATAATTTAGTAAAAATGTCACGCATAATGCATCCTAAGACCAACTGTAAAGTTTGCTGTAATGGTTGGTCTACTATGTAGTAGCAATTTAACATCCTTGCACTAGCTAACCACGGTGGAATATTGCCCTTGCGCCTTAAAATACCCTAAAATTAGAAGGCTAAGTTGAACAATTTCGTTATGTATTTTTGATATACGTAATGATGAGGCATGCATTTAAATACACAGATAAGGCGTCAGGGCTCCAGAAGCTTTACGATTTTATTCAGAAGTTTCTACAGACAAAGAGGAAGAACAGTGGGTACGAAGAATAAGGGATTAGGAAGAGGGCTAGTGGGATGGGGGCACAAAACGGGACAGAGCTACCAGAGTCCATTGCAGTGGGGAGGTGTGGGTGCTTACAACGCCGGACCCGCCTCGGAATCTTATGATTCGGTCCGGACTTAGGAGAGCAACAAGAAGACAGTAATACGAGGCCACGCCTTTACGCGGCTTCTCCTTCCTCCTCTTCTTCGAATTCTCCCTCCTCCTCTGCTGTGGCGTCCTGATACTGCTGATATTCACTTACCAGATCGTTCATGTTGGACTCTGCTTCGGTAAACTCCATCTCGTCCATGCCTTCGCCAGTGTACCAGTGGAGGAAGGCCTTTCGCCGGAACATTGCAGTAAATTGCTCGCTCACTCTTTTGAACAGCTCCTGGATAGCCGTGCTGTTACCCAAGAAAGTCACGGACATTTTGAGTCCTCGTGGAGGGATGTCACAAACAGCAGTTTTCACGTTATTCGGGATCCACTCGACGAAGTAGCTGGAGTTTTTGTTTTGAACATTGAGCATTTGTTCGTCAACTTCCTTCATGGACATACGACCGCGAAACATAGCGGCGACGGTGAGGTAGCGGCCATGACGAGGGTCACAAGCGGCCATCATGTTCTTCGCATCAAACATCTGCTGAGTCAACTCGGGAACAGTGAGGGCTCTGTATTGCTGGCTGCCTCGACTGGTAAGTGGGGCGAAACCAGGAATAAAGAAGTGCAGACGTGGGAATGGCACCATATTGACGGCTAGTTTTCTCAAATCAGCGTTAAGTTGGCCAGGGAACCGCAGACAAGTGGTCACGCCTGACATAGTCGCGCTGACAAGATGATTCAAATCACCATAAGTTGGAGTGGTCAACTTTAAGGTGCGGAAACATATGTCATACAGGGCCTCATTGTCAATACAGTAAGTCTCATCTGTGTTTTCTACCAGCTGGTGGACAGATAAGGTTGCATTGTAAGGTTCAACAACAGTGTCCGAGACCTAAAACACAAGCAATTCTTGAAATAAACAGGATATTATAAACCCGATTGTGTGGATAAACCAAAACCAACCTTTGGGGATGGAACAATGGAGAAAGTGCTCATAATTCTGTCAGGATACTCCTCACGAATTTTGGAGATAAGGAGGGTTCCCATTCCAGATCCGGTGCCACCACCGAGAGAATGTGTCATCTGAAAACCCTGAAGGCAGTCGCAAGACTCCGCCTCCTTGCGGACGATATCGAGAACTGAATCAACAAGTTCGGCGCCCTCAGTGTAGTGACCCTTGGCCCAGTTGTTACCCGCACCACTTTGCCCAAAAACGAAGTTATCTGGACGGAAAATCTGACCGAAAGGGCCAGCTCGTACACTATCCATAGTGCCTGGTTCCAGATCAACAAGGATCGCCCGGGGGACATACTTGCCACCGGTGGCTTCATTGTAGTACACATTGATGCGCTCTAGTTGCAGGTCCGAATCTCCGTGGTAAGTTCCGGTTGGGTCAATTCCATGTTCATCAGAGATAACCTCCCAAAACTAAAGGCAACAAGCAATTTAGGTAAGAAGATTCAATTTATTTAATAAAATCGGCTTTAAATAACTTACCTTGGCCCCAATTTGATTTCCGCATTGACCGGCTTGAATGTGGACAATTTCACGCATGGTGGAACAGCACTAGCGCTTTACTGATTGACACCGGATAAAATGGTTGTCCAGGCGAGATTGCCGGCTTATAAGGGTTGTTAGGTTAAACACGTTTGAATGCGCCATCTCAGCACAACAATCAATACCACGAGCAATCGATTTAATTCATCAGCGAGGGGCCATTGGAAAGCACGTGCAGCTTTTTCTCAAAGTCCAGCCGACCTTAAACAACTATTCCGAAATAAGTTGAAAAATTGGAAGGCAATATAAAGATTAAGTTTGAAAAATTAACATGGTATAATTCTCCTTATCCTATGTACCAGTGTTACTGTATAAACATACATGCAATAGCGAGCATTACATTTGAAAACATTGTAATGTGCCCATGCATAATTACTGCAACTTACAAAAATATAACAGTATGAAATGAAAATCACTGGATGTTAGTAAAAAAGTGGATTGCTCATAAAATGAAATGTTGGAAAACATGGCAAAAGAATCATTTCCTCGTCAGAGGTTTTTAGCCTCTCGTGCAAGTAAACGAGGAAGTTTTGATGTGGGAAAAACTTGGAATTTTAATAAGATTTTTTGTCTCCTATACCTTTTTATGATAATACTTAGCTGCAAAATCAAGAGAAAATAGTTGAATACAGTGGTGGCATGAAAACTATGTCCTGAATAATTTTTATACGTTTGACAGTTAATCGCAAGGTGTTTGGATTTTTTCTTAGAATGGTTTGGAACCCAATTGATGGTAAGCCAACTTTCACAGAGCGAGTCACGAATACCTCCTTTAAAATGCGTGTTTCAGGTGTCGGTGGTGCAGGTTAGGGATATAGAGAAAAATTTCAGGACATTTGCTTATTAGCAGATGACTTTGTGTTTTCAAACAGACATTATGAAACAGGGACAAATTCTCGTTTAATGTGCTTTCAAACATTCATTTTCGATGTTTATATACCACATTCAGATCAGTGCTCATTTGACGACAGATCACACTACTATCCTAAGTTTTTTTAACGGTATAACACTTATGTATACTGGCGCCAAATACTGTATGTGGTAGCTGATTTTAACAAAGTAACCAAAGTAAGCTGATGAAGATCACAGGAAGCTGCTGATAGCAGAAAACACGGTGTAACTTCTGCCTTGTTATTCTAGATTCATAAGTTGTTTAAATTCGTATTCTCAACATACTTCATTTACAATTTTCATACTGGACATTTGGTTCTCATGAGTCATTACAGCGGTTTCTATTTGTAATCAACATCCTTGATGTATTCGTTAACTATTTAATGTTTATTGCTGCGAGATATATTGTTTGGGATAATACGCATTATCGAAAGTTCTGGAAAGCCTTTTATTGTGTTCAGACGTTAGGCGGGTGCATGCGAACATGGTCTTCAACATGTTGCAGATAGTTATTACACACGACCTCCAGTAGAGTTCCATTTAGTACAATCCCAGCGTATAATTAGTTTTGTTATCACTCCCAATTGAAAGCATCATTGTCTCGATGTGCCAAATCACGATGAAATAATGCAGAATGTCGATTTGGATTGCACAGGCAAAAATAAGCATATTGGGTGTAAATATGCTGCAGAATGTAGGTATACAAACTAAGTCAAACCTGAAAGCTTATTGTTTTAAAGAAAAGAGCCATAACAATAACACACACATATAAAATTCCGTCAGAAACTCATGATTAGAATTTACAAGCACGGATTATAACTGTCAAAAATAAATTATTGAGCCATTCTTAATGTAGACCATGATGACGACTTATGACGTCTTTCAAGTGCAGAAGAGTCAGTTCATAAAATGCAAATATTCTAAATCTGCAGCATTGCATAACTGAAACAAATTAACACAGAAACTAAAATAAAATCGAAACTTTGGTATACATTCACTCATTCTGATTGTTTATAGAAAAGCGTAAGTTTGTCTTTTTAGTGTCCACAAATGCACATTACCCGGTAGAAAAATTGGTAGATATTGAGCTTCATCTACCCGTAAATCGTTCTTCGTGTAGAATGACTACTACACGTAGCTTCATGTTAGATCTGAACACCCCTTCCATTTGCAGAATGGGCTTATCTATGAACTTTAACAAACACCGAAACAGCTTTTTTAATACACGAATTGGTGTTTCGACCAGTGACGTTGACAGAAAATATATTTTAAAATTGCTAGATAATAAAAAGTTCATTTTAATTACGTGTGGGAAATCCACATTTGCGATTATGTATTTTAAACATTATATTAAAATTCTTAAAAAAACAAAAACATTCAAAAAACCGTAGAGCATATTTGATGATGGGCATTATGAGAAATTTTTGCCACTTTTACAAGGGGATTTTACTTGGATACAAGCAATATTAAAATTATTCTCCACATTCTTCATTAATTGTACAGACATTTATGGGAAGTGTAAATTAAACGGTCAGCCAGGAGCTGCGGTTGCCATTAAACAAGAAGTTTTACACCTATTCTTAGTAAAAAAATTTTCATGGGGCTATTCAGGAAAAAATAAAAGTCATGTTTACATAATCGATAATATACCGCAAGGGTGTTGGAACTTAATATTTCGTAGTAAAACCACAAATAAGCAACATCTTTTGGGTTATAATTTGTGAAATAGTACATAAATATGCATTGGAAAACGACTTTCATGACATGAATTGGGCTTCAAAATGAACTTTCCTATGTTATAACTTAAAAAAATTTGTCGTGTTATTATACAGACTAAATATAAAATGAAAGCAGTACTGTTTAGCACCTAATGCAACTGGGTTCTTGATGCAAACTTTGAAACCTTATTTCGTTGTGAAGACTAAAATGCATGGTTTTAAGCAGGCTTTACAGTGTTAATGAAAAATTTTGAAAGTAATGTTTTGCATTAGTGTCACGACAATACACATTAAGTAGTACAACTGCCAATAAGTTTTTGCAAATTTTAAAGACCCGGGTTACATCAACTTTTATTAAAGTGTAACAGGTCCATTTAGTAAGCCTAACAAATTTGTTTATAAAATTTCTATTTGCGAAGGTCACGGAATGTTGTCATAATACATAATTGTACCTGTTTAAATGTTTGCTACCTGATTAGCCAACTAAATGAAAACGTGCAATGTACGATCGGGCAGAAAGAAATACAGATTTTTTTAATAACTCATCAACGGGTCCCAATTTAGGGCCTGCAAACTACTACCCTAAATTAGGTCATCCAAGTTGCGACTGTGGGGGTTATGCGCCTTTTGGATCCCTTGCTCCGAGAAACACAAATCTCGACCCGAAAAAATCAGACGCACCACCTCCATCAACTTATTACCCCAAGGCTAACCTTAGCAAAATCAGGGTAAGCATTTATAATAAGTAACAAAATTTTGAGCATAACATCTTCTTGAAAGGTACATATTGAAGCATTTGTCAAAGAAATCATTGAGCGTACTTCGAGACTTATAACGTCCAGTCAATAAGTAGCAAAACTTCGTGCACTTTCTTGTTTCAGGAAATTTGAAGGTCGCACATAATACACGAAATTAGGTTTTTTAACATTTAACATGTCTAATAAACCAATTTTTCACAACTAGAACCACATGAAGATTTTATAGACAAAGTGCTAAGGAAAAGTGGCAACCAGGGCATTATCATGTTTAAAATTTTGCAAAGAAAGAGCAATTACTTATTCATATGGCAAATATAAGCTTGCTGAAGTGATTCTTTCTGACATGCATTATGTATTTGTCTAAGAGCTGCTATAATTTTATTTTCCTACATGACATGATTATCGTTACTAAAGCCGATCCTAAGTTTTTTATTTTTTGCGACTTTAATTTAAAATACAATAAGAGCCCCAATCTTGCTTGTTCTACATTTTTATTAGGGATGTTCAACGCTGCGAGATACCGACACTCGGTTTAAGAACGCAGGTAACTTTGTGCCTGGGCCTGGAGCGCACGAAATCAAATTATACTGGCCTGGTTCTGCAAAAAACTCTTGTAGATCCTCGAAGGCTCAGGTAGTTTGATTCAATTTAATAAAATTGAAAAAAAAATGTGCATCATTGATTGAAGTTAAATATCATTTGAATAACCATATTTTATTCCTATAACAAAACTGAAAATTGACATTAGGGGCTCAATTTGAACAAATTTTTGCTTAAATTATGGTTTCATCTTACACGTGTTATAAAGAAATTTGGGTATTGAGTGTTGTATCTGTAGACAATATGTCGTTTTGTGGAGCGAACTCCGCCAAGCATTGTGGCAACACTAGAAGCCCATGGTTATGAAGCATCACCCAATGGACGGCTTGTTCCTCAGAAGGCAGCATGTGAACCTGATTTCTATCCCCTCAGTTCAGTTTGTTTGGGCACTACAAGCTGCCAGCAATACCGCGGTTGCAAATGGAGCAAAAGGGTTAGTTAGTGCACCTTGATTTAGTGCTTACATAATGCTTGTACATTCAATTTCGACAAAGCAAGTGGCCACTTTGCCGAATATGCCCACAGCAGTGTTTCATGTTGCAGAAGAATCACCTTGAATTAACAACCACAAACAAGAGATTATTGATTATATGACAAAAAGTATACTCTTGTTTATATTACGACAATACTTCAATGTGAGAAGTCATTTGAATCTTATAAGACTTAATTGTAGCTCTTTAAACTGTGCCAAAATCCTACCATTGGAAAATGTGCTGAACCTTCACCATAGTTAATAAGAAACGGCGCTTGCTTCTTTGGTTTGCACCACATCAAGCTAGGCCATCGAGAGTAGGATCCATGAATTGGTGTTAGGGAGGTTATGAATTCACAAGAAATGGAATCACGTTCAAAAGGTATTGCAGCAGAACTCATTGGCAAATTTATTAACCAGAAATTAGGGACAGCATGTTTTTATACTATTAATGGTATAAAATTACAATTAGAGGGCAAATTTTGGTTTGGCGTTTGGGGTAATGGGATGTGCTGATGTCTAATTTTCTCAACAAACCACCACGGCAATAGTGTACCT